GTGTCTGGGAAGGTACCGTGGTGGGCTCCTTGTGGTAGGACACCCCTACTTTGTGGCATAACAGCTTGGAAACTGCGTGTCTGCCACCTGCTGCTAGTGACATGCCTTGTGCCACAGAGTGAGTGAGTGTACAGACAGGTACGGGTGCAGAGGTGGGCTCCTGCTCCTCTGGGGGACCATTTCACCCCGAGGCCCTGACAGTACTGCAGTTGTCCTCTGCCGGCGTAACCTCCTCGGCTCCATGTGCCCCGAACTTTGGGGTACCCTAGGCATGGCTATAGGCAGGGGTGTCCCTCCTGAAGACCCAGCCTGCCTTGATCTCAGCACCCTGTCCCCACTCTGAGGAGGCAGAGGGTTGCGCCTCCCGGGAGCCCACAGCAGGAGCCCGCACGTCTGAGCAGTGCATTCTGCACTTGGTAGAAAACGCCCTGAAAGGAAGAGCTGCCACTCCCCGGTGACCTCCCGGCCCCGTGGCCCCACCACTCACTTCCGGACGTCCACACTCTGAGCTGTGGTGCTCCTGCAGGGGCCGTTTGCACAGGTCAGATTGTCTGTGCCACTCAGGCCTGCTGAGCCCTGGGGCAGAGCCCAGCCCATTGGTCCCTGCAGGCCCACTGGGCCAGGAGGAGGAGGGAGTGGCCACAGCCCAGCAGGGGGCAGTAGGGACCAGCCAGAGTCTCCCAGGGCCCTGGGCCGGTGCAGCACCTGTGATGGAAATTACTGCCACTGCCAAGTAGAGCTGAGAAGTCAGCCGACGGGAAGAGGTTTCTGGTCCTTGTTTTGTTTTAGTTTTGACTCTGAGAGGATGTTTCTTAAAGCTGGGACTGTGAAACAAGGAAGGGCCTAGGACAGAAGCAGCAACAGGCGAGAGCCCGGGTGGGGGCTGCTTGGGTTCAGTGGAAAGTCAGCGAGAAGGGGTCCCGGGGGCCGGTTCACGGGGAAGCCTGGATGAGCTGCCGCAGCCCGTTGCTGCCGTGGTCGTGAGCCTGGGGGGGTGTGGGGGGGTTCTGAGAGCCCAGGAGTCACCCGGCTGCTGGGGAGGAAGACTAAGACGGGGAAGGGAAGGCGCGGCGGTGGTGCTCCAGGAGGAAGTGTGCTCCCTTCACATTAATAGCAGGAGCCAGTGTGGGGCTGGGGAAAGAGCCCAAGTGTGTCTGTCTCCCGAGAGATGGTGAAAACCCCCCGGGAGACATGGTGCTGGTGCTGGGCCTGGTCCGTGTGCGCACACGGAGCGCACTGGAAGGGAAGCGTGCTCTGCTGACACGACGCGGTTCTTGGCTCTGTGGTTTCATTGCAGAGGCGTGGCCCCCGTGAGGTGTCCTTCTCGTACTTCCCTGTGTTTATTACACACAGACGGATGGGACGTTTTTCCACCCACACAGCTTCAGCGGGACCAGGGACTCGGGCTCCTCCTGGGCTTGTCCGTGCCCTGTGGCGGCAAAGCTTCCACAGGAGGAGTCAGAGCCGGGCTCTCCGTGATGGGAGGGGGCCAGCTGGGGACCCCGAGGGTGTCCTGGGAGTGTGGGGCTCCCGGGGAGACGCCTCCAGCTCCTGTGGGAGTCCGAGCCCCGGGTCCCCACGCTGATCCCGTGCTCTCCCGGCCTGTCTCCACACCTGCCCGTCCCCGTGGGTCTCGGGGACAGCGGAGGCTGCAGAGGCCCCAGAGCCTCCTCCGTGCGCAGTGTCCCACCCAGGAGTCAGCCACGGCCCCTGGCAGGTTTTGCACGCAGGTCGGGTCCAAGTCAGAATTGACCTTTCCTGTTTGTGCTTTGTGAGGTGGCCTAGTGGCCCGCAGACGACCGGTGGGGCTGGCGCGGGAGGTGGTGGTCAGGGCGCAGGCTTCAGCACTGCCCAGCGTTTCAGTCCTCCTGCGGGCCAGCAGGAGGCAGCACCAAGTGGGCTCCCTTGTTTGTGAATCAGGCTGCGGTGGTCCCCACGTCCTGCTGCGGTGACTGTGTCAGTCGGCCTCACCTGTGTAAGACTGGTCAGCGACGGTGGAAACCGTGCTTTCTTGATTGTCCGGCTCTCACCCTTGTCAGAACCAACCTTCACAACGTTTAATTTTGCAGCGACTGAGCCGGGCTCGGGACACCTGCCCCGAGGTGGGGGGGGGGGTGTCTGACCCCTGAGGTCGCAGGCCAGAGCACACGGCCTGCACCGTGACGCCGGAGTCCTGATGGAATGGGGTCGCCGCCCCGCCGCCAACATCCGTGTGACAGACACGTGGGAGCTGCAGGCCCCTCTGCCGACTGGCCGCCGGCCTCCGGCGCACGCCCGGTTGCTCAGACTTGCCTGCCCTTGGGTGGGCCCGCCTGCTGCCTGGGGCGTGGGGTCCTCATTGTGCGAATCAGAGACACCGTGTGACTGCACTGTACTCGGAGCCGGAACGGCCAGGCATCCCTGTCTCCCTTCTCCACCCCCCCCACCCAGGTCCTGGGGCCCCCTCCACACGCGTCTCCCCCTGGGAGCCTCCCGGTACCTGCGTGGGCTGGAAGGAAGGAGGGAGGGGAGAGGAGTTTGTGAGTGGGCAGGGCGGGTTCTGTGCAGCCAGGGCGTTGTGAGTGTGGCCTGGCTTTCTGTGTCTGGGTGGGAGCCACGTCGTCCCCAAACTGGATTCTGCCCACCCACAGCACAGCTCACCGGTTTCTCCCGCACGCCACCTCCCACAGTCTGCGGTGACGTACAGGAGTGCAGGGGGGCCCTGCGGGAGCCCCCACGGGGACGAGCTGCCGTGCTGGGGGGGCGGGGGGGCTCACTGTTCTCGTAGTGCATGTGTCTTCTTGTGGACGTCTGCAGCTTATTCTCGGTGCAAATGTCTTCTGTTTAACTGATTAAACAACGTCTTACAAACCGCATTCCCGCCTTTCTTTAGCGGTGTAGGCTCACCACACGAGGGGTGCATTCTGTTTGCAAGACAGACCGATGAGTGACTTCAGGTCTGGCTTAGAGAACATTCTAAAACTATATCGATGGGAGGCTTCTCCTAGAATTTTCTTTTGAAATGCTGACAGAGTAAACAGGTGTTTACAAAGCTTTCTCACTGGCCCCGACTGGTGTGGCTTGCTTGGGTGTCGTCCCACAAAGCAAAGGGTCAGGGGTTCGACTCCCAGTCAGGCACTTGCCTGGGTTGTGGGTTCGGTCCCCAGTTGGGGCGTGTGTGAGAGGAAACCAGTCAATGTTTTTACATAGATGTTTCTTTCCCTCCCTTCTTATCTAAAAAATAAAATCTTTTAAAGATAAAAAAACAAAAGCTTTCCCACTGCCTGAGCCCTGCAGAGCCTCCGCACTCACAGCAAGGCTGCCCGCCCACCTCTGAGCTCCACTTCGGGGGGGTCGTGGCGAGTGGAACCCCAGCCTGCGGCCTCCCCTCCCCCCAGACCCCCCTCCCCTACAAGGGGCAAGGTCCAGTCCTTGCGAGACAGGAAGCCCGTTCTGCGGGAGACGCCCTCCTGAGGCCTCGAGTCACCTGCCCTGGCTGAGACATCGGCCTGCAAGTCACCTAGACGGAGAGGGCCGGCAGGCGGTGACGCCGTTACCCTGGCCCTGGTGATGGAAGGTGTGGATGTTCACGTGTGGGGAACCGGGAAGGACTCCCTGACCTCCACGTAGGCCTGGGGGGGTTTTGAGTGCTACCTGGGAACTTGAGTCGGCATTTGAACAGTGATTGCAGAACTGGACCGACAGGCTGACCGAGGTGCCGGCTTGGAGCCCGGCCAACACTCTCCCGGCCCTTCTGGGGGCAGGAACTCGGGTTCTGGAGGCTTCCTGGGGTGTAATGCTGCCCGGGAACAAAGCCCACGGCCCCAGGGTCCCGGCTGTGAGGGGCTCGGTCTCTGTGAGCTTCGGGTGGTGGTTCCGCTGGCTCCGTGGCGACCAGCCCTGCACACGTGAGCATGCAGACGTGTCTGTACACGCGAGACGCCTGCCGGCATTGTGGAGGCACGCATGCGCTGCCCCATTCCCGTACGGTCCTCCACAAATGAACATTTCCGTGCGGCTGTGGTGAAGCCTGAGGATTTCTTCCTCCACAGGATTACCTGTGCAGTAGCTACAGTGCGTGAACCAAGCCATAGTTGCTGCTGCCCCTTAAATGTCCCCCTCTTAAAGGAACGGCCTGCCCTGCTCTCCGAGGCCCAGGTCCCCTCTCACCTGTGCTCCACCGGTCTCCGTCCTGGGCGCTGCCCTGGATGTCCCAGGCAGCGGACTCTGGGCCCTCGGGGCCCCTGCAAGACCCTACCAGGGATCAGGGCTGGGGGCCTCCCTTTCCCGGCCCATCCCTGCCAGATTCTGAGGCCCGGCTCTGGTCACAGATCCCAGGTCACTGCCAATTCTGGGTTCGAGTTCCTTCACACTGGGGTCGGGACAGCTCTGGCTCTGCTAGCCCAGTAGGTCCTACCCACCCTGCCACCCTTGTAGGTCATCCCAGGTGGCCAGGGCAGCTGGAGCCATATGGCCTGTGACTCTTGGGTGTGACGGCCCCTTGACCACTGTCTTCCTGGCGCTGGGGAAATAGACGGCACGACCAGTGACCTGAGGAGGGTTTAGTAAGAGGGCCATGTACAAGCGTGCAGAAAGGGGGGTCGGCACCCCTGGAGGGCTCACGGAGGGAAAGGGAGCCGTTATCATCTTAGTACGAAGCACACAGACAGATACTTCACCAGCCCTCACTCTTATGTCCGGGGGTCCCCTTCTAATTGTTTTACACAAACACGCAGGGGAGACCAACCGGTGGGCTGACCTCAGGGACGGGCCCTGCCCCCTGCTGAAACGGAAGGTGCTGCTAACACACGTGCTCTCGGAAGATGCTCCGGCTTTAGGCACCTGCAGCTCCGCTCGGCAGAGGAGCTCGACAGCCTTCCAGGCTGACGGTGCTCGGGGCAGCTGCCAGCGCCTTTTGCACAACACTTGGGTACCTGCTGGGTCCTCGCACCCGTGGATCGCCACGGAAACGTAAAGTGGGTGACTGGGAGCGCATCTAGAGCTAGCAGTCTAGAGTCGGGTTCTCGAGAATCCTTTTATTCATGGGGGAAACCACGCCCGGGAGACGGGACAGCGAGTCCAGGCCACGGTGTGCAGAGCTGAGGTGGGAACAGACTCCCGGAACCCTGGGTCTGCCGCCCACTGCCGGTGACCTGCAGAGACCCCACTGGGCTCTCCTCCTCAGGTGGAGGGGGTCTCCAGCCAGCTCAGGCCAGTGGGTGGGCGTGAAAGGTTGTAGACAGGTCTGAACACTTCTAGATGGTGATCATGGTTTCAGATGTAAGAAAAAAAATCCAAATCAAAGGAGGAAATTTGCAAAGACTTTAAAATATATGTATTTAGAGCTGACATAAGCTCTCCTTGAAAGCAGTTTAGTGAAGACCACTGATTGAGAGAAAAATCACACTATTAAAGCCAGAAGCACAGACACCAGCTTGGTGCGGAGCAGCCCCTCCATGAAGTGGCACAGTGTAGAGACATCGGTCACTGATGCCTACAGACACGTAATCAAAGAGGACAGAAGACCACGTGGACAATGGGCTCAGTCCAAAGTCCAGAACTAGAAATAGGCCAGCTCGTCCTGCCTGGTCTTGTTGGTCTGGTAGTTGTGCAAGGCCAAGGGCTTCTTTTCATGGGGGAGACTTTGAAACACTCGAATATGTACGAAGGCATCATCTTCAACTTGAACCTGCAAAGAGAGTCGAGTGAGGGAGGGAGGCAGGTGCCGCCTCTGGCCTCAAGTCCCCGGACTCGCCTAGATGGTGTGAGAAAGCCCCTGGGTGCGTGGAGGCCGAGTCCCCTCGGGCATCTGCACCTAAGTGGGTGACATTCCCATCTTCCTCCCTCGGGCATAGCAGACACCCATCGCCCCAACCAGGACCCTTGGCATCCCAAGATCGCTCCGTCAGAGCCCTCAGTTGCCTGAAGGCTCTGTCCCCTCCTCCACGGAGGCCTGCGTGGGTGCACGCACAGCAGTTTAGAGGGGACAGATGCCCTGAAGCTGGGCACTGCCGCGGGACCCCCTTTAACACCCCTGTCCCCGCACCTACATGCCCCCCCACTACCCAGGGGGTCTGCACGAGCACCCATGTAGCCGACACTCCACCTTGATGAAGTAGTTGACCCCCGCAACCATCTGGCTCTGGTACTCCACAGCCTTGAAAAGAGTGTACTTCTTGTTTTCCTTCTCCTCCAGCTGGGACTTCACCTGGGGGTTGGGCCAGAAGGGAAAACTCAGTGGCTCCCTTCCTGCAAGAGGAAGTGCCTGGCACATGAGCTTCTGTCTACCTGACGTTCAATGTTGCAAATTGACCTCTAAGCCCTGCCCTTTACAGATTTTCTCTTTTTTTTTTACATAATTTTTAAAAAGATTTTATTTATTTATTTTTAGACAGAGGAAGGAAGAAGAGGAGGAGAGAAATATCAATGTGTGGTTGCCTCATGCACACCCCCTGCTGGGGACCTGGCCTGCAACCCAGGCATGTGCCCTGACACTGGGAATCGAACCAGCAATCTTTTGGTCCCCAGGCGGGCACTTAGTCCACTGATCCACACAGCCAGGGAGGGCCCTTTGCAGATTTTTCTACAACACGATTGTTCCTTGCAATGGAGGAGACATGTTCAACTGTTCGCACTAATGAGAAAGTACAGCAAAAAATTCCTTCATTCCACCAAAGTTTCAAAGGAATGATATCAGTATCTCACTTGCCCTTTCTTTTCTAGGTGTCAGAAATTTTTACTTTTTCACTATTATGACACTATTGGGTGGGCCAAAAAGTTCATTTGTTTTTTTTTCTATACGATGGCTCTAGTAGTGCGTAGCTCTCTTTAACTTCATTCGAAACAATTTTGTTAGACTGCATTGTGACAGCCGTTGTATAAGCGTGCACTTAAACATTAAAATTGGTGACCTTTTGTGTGGCCATTTTAATATTGAAAATGGAAGAAAATATGCAACATTTTTGGCATATGCTTTATAATTTCAAGAAGGTAAAAACACAACTAACACACAAGAAAGGTTTGTGCAGTGGATGGAGAAGGGGCCGTGACTGATCAAACGTGTCAAAGGTGGTTTGCAAGGTTTCCTGCTGGAGACGTCTCACCGGATGACGTGCTCCACGGTGGGGGAGACCAGCCGAAGTTGACGGCGATCAGATAGGGACGGTAACTGAGAACAATCAACGTTCTACCACCCGGGAGATAGCCGATATACTCCAAATATCCAAATCAATAAAGGTATTGGTGAAAATGAAAAATGTGTCTTTTATTTTACAGAAAAAAACAAAGTAGACTTTTTGGTCAACCCAAGTTTACACCCTGTTTTTCTCTTTTAACTTAACATGAAAATAGTTCCTTTTTTAACATTAAAAACTTGAAACAGTTTGCAATGTTTAACTGAGGTTAATTTTAGATTTAATCTCTCATTTTACAGATGAGCTTTAATTCTCTTAAGTGCCCCCTACTGGGCACATCGGCTGTTGCTAAATTCTCCTGGAACAGAGAAGGCACCGAGAAAGTGCTTTGCAGGTAAAGGGTGCCGTCCTGCATTTCCAGGGGACGTCGGAGCATGTCGTGCCTTTGGGCAGAGGCTGATCCCAGCCCCGAATCTCAAGCAGGAATCCATGCTCTGTGTGGTTCAGTCCCGTCTCCCAGGATCTTGCCCTCCTGCTAACTGAGCATCTTTATGGAGGAAGGAGAAAGCAGGTTTGTTTTTAAAATTTTTTTTTCTTCATTTAAAATCTAACCTGCTATCTAGATGAATCAGTAGGCATAAGAGCACGCTGGCTTTGGCTGGAGTGCCGAGACTAGTTCTAGAGGGTTCGAGGACTTGAGTCAAGGCAGCTGCAGCAGGCGGGCTAGCTGCTGGGAGCCAAGGAGGATCACCCTTGTCACAAGCAAATGAGTCACTGAGGCCACCCTGCACCTTCAGGGAGGGGCCCTCCCGGGGGTATGAATGGGAAGGAGACAGCACTTGGGGGCAGCTCTGGGCGGGAGGGAGGTGGGTCAGGTAGGAACAGAGCAGGCTCTTCCCGCCCTTCTTAAGTTTGGGAAACCGGGAACAGCAAGGAAGAGCTGGGCTCTGTGAGCAGTGCGGGGAGGGGGGGCGGGAGGCACCTCCCTCGGAGCCAGCGCACCCTGCAATCCCTGCAAATTCCTGTTTGCTGAAGTCTCCTGGGACTGACTCAACAGCCTGTGCTGTGGTCAGCTGGTCTAAACCACCAGGGCAACGACGGGGGGCTCGCAGCATTCCCTCGGGGTAGGGAAGAAAAAGCAGGGGAGGAGACTTACAGGAGAAAGAGGTTTGTTTTGCTTGTGGTCTTCTCCTCAAGCCTTCCTGCGGCCCTACCATTCCACCTTGGCCAGAACCTTCTGTGAAAGCACCTTAGTGGTGCCCACTTTACAGATAAGGAAACTGAGGCGCAGGGGTCAAGCGCTGTCTGGTTTCTGTTTTGTTTTTCAATGTTTATTTGGAGCTCATTTCAAACTTACACAAGGAGTGTAAGTTTAGGGTCACTGCGTACCTTCCCCAGGTTCACTGACTGTTAACCTCCACCCCACCTGCTCCTTCTCCTGGTCTCTGGTTTTCCCCTTCACCGCCCGAGGGCCAGCATGCCAGGCCCTTCCCCCTGAGCGCTCTATGGCTTGGTCCCCAGAAGCCGAGGCTCTTCTGTCCCTGTCCCAGCCTAGCCCCACGGGCCACGTCCCAAGTGCGCGCATTTCAGCCAAGATCTCCGCGTTCCGGCGGGCGCTGCCCCGTTGCGGACAGGGCCAGACCGACCCCGGGCTCCGTAGGACCCAGCCCGCCTACCTGGTCGGCGATGGCCTGGATCTCAGCCGTGGCGGGCCTGGTGGCGGAGGTCCCACCGCATAGCATCCCTCTACCGCTCATGTTGGGACAGCTGGCACAGAGGAGCTGAAAACAGGAACAGAGTACCGTAAGCTATAGCTTGGTTTGCAAACAGCCCTCCGTCTTATATCCGCCAGGTCACATGATGCGGGGGCGGGACCACACGAGGGCGGGCCCTGGGGAGGGCCGGTGGAGGACACCGCCTAGTGGGAGTGGTCTGGTGGGGAGAGATGGGTGAGGGGTGAGCCCACTGAGGAGGGGAGCGGGAGGATCTTTCACCTGTCCCTTAATTACTTGAAAGCATTTAGATAGAGAGTCTGGGTCAGACAGACAGCAATATATGTATATAAAAATACATATATATGGTTTATGGTATATGTATGTGTGTATACATATTTTCAACCTGAGACTCACCTGCAGCGCAGGGCAGACATCTGAGTATCAAACACCCGCTCCTCCCACCTCCCCTTGATTGGCCTTCCTCTCTGCAGACCTGAATCAGGCCCTCAGCTCCAGATGGTTCCAGACCTGAGCTGCCAGGCAGCCTTTGGATCGCATATCTGTATGGGGCTCTGTATGCAGGAAGTTAAATTTGTTTTTCTCCTGTTATTCTGTCCCACATCATGTTAATTGTTAGACCAGCTAAAGAACCTAGAAGGGAAGAAGGGGAAATTTTCCCTCTCCCAGAGGCCCTGCAGGGGGAAGGGGAGGGAGCCCTGCTTGAGTGGGTATGGCCCTGCAGCGGACCTGCTGACTGTCCCATTCCCACTGATGTAAAAGGAGTGCGTGTTTCTTCATTTTGCTCCCTAGGCCCCGTGAGGTGTGGGCGTGGGTTCTGCAGAGGAGAGGGGGGTCTGTTCTCGTGCTGGGATGGGCATGGCACCGCAGGGTAAATTGGGGAGCGTAGCTTTAAGCAGGGGTGGGTGGCCTTGTAGAGGAGATCAAGGGTCACCCCACAGGTGGGGTGGGTAGGGATGGGCCCTGGCAAAGTCCTTGAGTGGCCCTGGCCCCATGCGGGACAGATTACCCCCGGGTGGGGGGACCCAGAGACAAGTGGGGGCTGAACCTGAGAGCCGCAGAGGACAGAAGGGAGAGGAGCCTGTGTCTGTGGGCACCAGGAGTAGCTGTGGGAAAGGGGCAGGAGCTGCCAGGGCATCCTAGAGTCTAGGAGCAGGCTCTGCCTGATCTTATTCCCAAGTGCATTGGGCTGCCTTGTACCCCTCGTCTGCAAGGCCCAGCCCAGCAACCCCCCTTGTGCCAGCCACTCTGGATGTCACCAGTAAATGACCCGGGGCATAGCAAAGGGCTGACATGGGTAAACAGAGGAGGCACAAAGGGGTCCAGTGATGAGATGGCTCTGAGTGCCTTAGGCTGGGGCGGGAGTGGCACTCCAGCTGCATCCTCTTCCCCTACTCCTGGGCTGCACGCCAGGGGATGCTGGGTATCTCCCCCCTCTGGGTGCTAGCTGCCAGGCAGGCCCAGTCTTGCCTCCTGGAGGCTCCAGTGCAGAGCCCCAGTGGGAGTGGCCCATGAGCAGGTGTGTGGGGGAGGCAAGCCTTTCAGGTACCTGCCACGGAAGAGCCTGGTCTGTAACTTTAGGGAAGGATGGGAGGCCAGATGTGGTTGAACCCTGGGGAGAGGGGAAGGAAAGGCCCCCACAGCTTACTCACAAGTAAGTGAATGAATGAATGTGAACAGAAAAGGGACTACAAAGCAGACCCGACAAGCTCATGGGACTACATGGTGGGCCTGAAAGTGTAGTTTCCAAGAGGAACCACACAGGGTGATCTGGCATAAACTCCTGGCTGGGCAGGCGGTGGTGAGTAATCACGTCGTCGTAGGCATATAGCTTCCCTAGCCAAAGGTCAGTCTTTACCTTCAGGAAGCCCTGCCCATTGTTCTTATGCATCTGGGATAACATACCTTTGAAAAGTCAGAGTAGCTTTGTTTTCCGGGCCCTTTGCAGGCACAGTCACACTGGCACGGGTGGATGACGCGAAAGCCCTGTCACCTTGCTGCCCACACACCGTCTCTATGTACTGTGCGCGTTCAGTGTTGACTACACTGTACCCACTGGTGGTAAAGAAGTATGTCTCTCCATTTTGCTCCCTCCCGTGTGTTGCCACAGGTCCCTGCTGGGGAGTTAAGCATGGCCTGTGTGACTCCACCTGGAGAGGATTCTGGAAGCTTCCTCCTGGTGTCCCCTGGACTCTCTCTCTCCCTGTGCCTTTTTTCCTGTGCTGATTTTGCTTTGCATCCTTTTGCCATAATACATCATAGACCAACATCCTCCTAGGCTAGCAGGTCAACCAGCCTGGGCTTGGAGTTCCCTGACATGTGGTCCTTTACAAAAAAAAGTCTGCTGAGTTCATTCTGCATAAGCATAAACACTACATAGACACACCTAAGAAAATAAGCAATTATTCTGCACCATAATCTGACATCTAGTCTATATGCAAGCTTTCCCGGTTGTCCCCAAAGTGCTGTTTATAGTTTTTCTTTGAACCAGAATCTAATCAAGATTTATATATGCATGTGTATATTCTCTTTATATACCCATTCATGCATTCTTTCGTCTATGACATTAACTCTCTGAAGATATCAGGACAGTAGTCCGGCGGACTGCCCCAGAACGACTGGATAGTGATTATCGTCTCGTGCACCTCTGCGGCCTTCCTCTGTCCCGAAAGCCCGCGTGCAGACGGGAAAGCTGAATGAGGGTCACCCTAGACTGCCCACAAGTGATGCTGCTGCGTGGGAGGGGGCGCCCGTGCCAGAGGTGGCGGGCCATTTGAGGAGGGACCGAGAGGGAGGCTGATATTCCGGTAAACCCTGTCCCCGACCACCTTTTCAGCCGCTTTACCATTTTCGTCTGAATCAAAGATTCACTGGGGCTGCACAGGGTTTTGTCCAATTCTACCATTCCTCTGCCTGGGCTCGCTGGCAGTTTTTGCTAAAAAAAAAAAAAGAGCCTCTGTCAACAATTAGGTTAAACCACAGCCCCACCTAGAAGGTTGGCACACGCTTAGTGACCTCCCTTTAATGCCAACTGTCTAGCGCTGTCATTGCCGGCCCGGCCAGTGTGAGGCGACAGAGTGCGGCCCCGGCGCGGCCGGCGCGGGAGCATGACGTCAGGTAGCGCGCCTGGGGGAGAGGCCGGCGCGGTGAGGTGACGTCACACCGCGCGCCCAGGCGAAGCGGCGCGGTCGTGATTCTCGGGGTCTGTGGGGAGGGTCGCCATGGTTCCGCGAGTGCAGCTCCCCCCTGAGATCCAACTGGCGCAGCGCCTGGCAGGGAACGAGCAGGTGACCCGGGACCGGGCGGTGAGGAAGCTCCGGAAATACATCGTTGCCAGGACTCAGCGGGCTGCAGGTTGGCGCGTGGTTGGTGGGGGCGGCGGCGGCATTCTGGGCTGGGTGGCCTCCCAACAGCGTGGATCTTCCGCGTGGGCCGGCGGACCTGCGCGCGGTGCTTTTGTCACTGTAGGTCTCCTTGTGTAGTTATTGGATTGTCGTGTGAGTTTCACTGTAGTATACTCTCCGCGAGGGCAGGAACATAGTTGTTACCTAGTCTCTGTAAGAATGATTCTCAAAGCGTGGTGCACCGCGGGCAGCCTGAGCATCCCCTGGACGTTTGGTGGGAATGCCGGTTCTTGGTCTCATCGCAGCCCTGCTCCATCGGAAACTGGCGGTGGCTTCAGCGGTCTGTGCTGAGACGTTCTCCCAGTGATTCCAGTGCTAGTGCTGAAGTCTGAGAACCCTTGCTCACGCAACAGGGTGCCAGACACAGTGAGGAACTCAGTAAATATTTTGAGTGATTTTATGTATTTCCCTCCCTGACTAGCCTTACGAGTCGACATTTTGTTTTGAAATTTAAAGTACAATAACATGGAAAAGTGCACAGACTCTCACGTGTGACGCCGGACGATTTATCACTGGCGAATTCACCTGTGTGGCCAGCCACCATCCAGCTCAGGAAATGGTGACTCTCAGTTTTGAATCCCCCAAAGGGCAGTACACTGCCTGATGCTTGTAGATTCTTAGTTTTTATTGAAAGACTGGAATGGCAGTTACCTGGGGCTGTCCCTACAGCCACGGGCCCAGTGGGTTAGGAGTTAGGAGTCGGGGAGTGAGTTAGGAGGATGATTGAGAGGGATGCTTCTGCAGTAACAGGAGTTGGTCTCGTCAGGCCGTCATGTTTCTCTGGCTTCGTTCCTGGCACTGAAAGGTTGGGCTCACTTAGCCTGAGAGTTGCTGTTTCTGGTGCAGGTGGTTTCACTCATGACGAGCTGCTGAAGGTGTGGAAGGGACTGTTTTACTGCATGTGGATGCAGGACAAGCCGCTCCTCCAGGTGAGTGTGTGGGAAGGCAGAAGAAGCCGGAGCAGCAGCGTTGGTAGGAGGCCACACTGGCATGCGGTTGACCTTGGGCAAAGCTTTAGAGCTTTGATGCTCTTTGTTCTTGTAATTGGGTGGAGGGCCAAAGCCTTTGGTAAGAGTGAGTCCTGCACGTGCAGTGAGTGCCACAGCCACACAGGTGGTCATCAGGGCAGGTCCTTGAGTGGGTGAAGCCTGGGTTAGGTCTTTTGTTTGGGAAACACCACAGACTGAGCCCCAAAATGATGGAAACCAAAGGAGGGGGTCCAAGTCTTCTGAGACACAAGTTTCTTTGTAGCTGTTTTTAAATTGTCTTTAAAAAACAAACTTTATTTTTTAGAGCAGTTTTAGTTCACACCAAAGTTGAGAGGAAGGTACAGATATCTGCCATCACCTTCTGCTCCTCTTCCTCCCCTGACCTCCGCACTCACACGCGTGCACAGCTGCCTCCGGTATTAACACCCCCCACCAGATGGCACGTTTGTTACAGTCGATGAATCGACGTGGACATATCATTGTCTCCCAGAGTCCATAGTTTACCTGGGATCACCCCTGGTGGTGCGCGTTCTGTGGGTTTGGACAAATACGTGATGATTTATGTCTGTCACTAGGGTATCTTACAGAGTAGCTCTACTGCCCTGAAATGCCAGCCTTTTTAGAACAGTGTTTCGAAGAGTCTGACTTGTTTACTCTTCTTCAAGATTCCCTGGGCGGGGGTGGGGGGGTTAAAATGCAGACTCCTGTTCTGTGATCCGAGCCTC